TCATTTACTTTTTACATAAAAATTAAAAACGCTCTTATTTAAAGTATTTAAACAACTTAAATTTATTTATTTATTTATTTATAATTATATATAAGTATTGTAGTTTTTTTCATTCACATTTTCGCTTATATAATAAGTGTGTGTATTGAGTCGAGTGTTTTTTTTTTTTGTGCTTTTTTTTTGGTTATCTGTTAAACAGGCTGACTGTTGCTGCTTGCTTACTCTCACTCTTTATGGCGCCACCACATTTTTCGCGACATCGCCCTTGCGCGCTCTATCTCCCACTCTCTCTCTTTTGCTTTGCATATAGCATAAATAGGAACTTAAAAGCGAATGTGTAATTAGGATTTGTTTTGCGCTTATTTTGAAAACATTTTTTATTCTCTGTAGTCTAGTTATGCATATTTGAATTATTTATTATTAAAAAAAAAAGGAAGAAAAAATATTTTTTATGCTATTAAAAATGATTTCTAATTACGGTTTTAAAATTTGAAATCTTTACTTTTTCTTTGCTAATTTTATTAATAAATTTTCAAAATGCCTAAAATGTCCGAATTTATTATTTTTGGAAAAAATATATGCATTTAGTAGCAGCTTTTTGTACAGTATTAATTTACATATGCATATATATACATATAATATAAAAATATTTTACATACGAAAAATTACTGTACAAAAATTGTTAAATATTTAGTTTAGTTGTGTGTAATTGCTAAATTAAATTAAAAAATTTCTCTTGGTGTCCGCGATTATTTTTTTTTTTAACATTTCGTTGCTTGCGAATATTCATTTATTTGCATTCTCACATTTCGCTCTACATTTCACAGACTTCGCTTAAATATTATTATTTATTTTATATTTAGTATTAAATATTTAATTTGCAATTTATTAATGATTTTTTCATTGCTTTTGAAGTAATTCACACGCCCACTCAACTTTATTTTGTACAAAATCATTTTAAACGCGCTCAGTATTTAGTGTTTTCAAATTTTTTTCAACATAAAAATTTAAAACAATAAATTAATGTTATTAATCGAATTTATTAAAAGTTGTATATGTTTTTTTGTGCTAAAAAACTTGGTTTTCCCAAGTGAAGTTTAATTAAAGTGAAAAATATAAAAATTCATAAATTTATATAAATAATATGAAATTCATTGGAAGCAATTTAAAGTCATGTTTTAAATAAAACTTTAACTAAAATAAATTACCACAAAACTATTTCCTGTCTTTTGCGTTTAAAAAAGAGAGAATATTATTTAAAACGAGCCTCTTTACAATGGCAACAATTAATTGTTAATTTTTTTTCTTGCCAACACAATATGCTACAAATTTGTCAATTTTTTTTGCTCAACACAAATAATATACAGGCTTCTAAATTCTTGAAATTCAGGCTTTTACTCACATGCATATACAAGTCGTATTAAATATTATTTTTTTGGAATTCAAATTTTTTCGCCATTTTTCATCACGCACTATACGAAAGTGACCACAGAAATGCTCAACACTCAGCTCTTGTGCGCGTTTGTTAATTTACAAAAAAAAAATTAAAATAAAATTAAAAATAAAAATGCATTTAATCACTATTTTTCACAGCAATGGTTGCGAATTTTATGAAAAAAATCAACTCTCATAACTTATTTATACTTTTTGTGCTCAAACATACTTTAACCCACATTTTTTGTGCAATTTTGTGGTGAATTTCTAGCGCGAGTTTATGTGTATGTGTGTGTTGTTTATTTTTTCTTACACACACTTTGTTTAGCAGCAGCTAACTAATTAAATTATTTCCAAGTGTAGAAGTATGCGCGTATTCACATTTTTTCTCATACCATTTTATTTAAATTTTTATTAACTTTAAATGTTTTATACTTTTTTTCGCTAACAAAATTCATTTGCGCTTTTCCTTGTAGTAAAAAATTTTACAAAAATATAATAAAATATAGCACAAAAATATTCATAATTTATTAAAAACAGTTCTCGCTTACCAGCTGACGAGGTAAAAAACAATTAAAAAATAAATTTTACTTAGCATACATATAGCATAAAAGGGATTTTAATTTTACATGCGATTTATTTTCATTAAAAAAGTGTCAAAATAAAGCATAAATTTAATTTCATAAAAAAGTTGTTTCATAAAAATTTAATTTGATACGCATACAAAATGTAAGCCGCTGCCAAATGCTACCAGAAGGTGTTTTAATTTTGTAGTGTTGCAGTTATTATTTTAAATTTTTAAGCAAATAACGCCTGTTTGTATGCAACAAAAAATGTAATACTTAAATATGTAAAGATCGATTTCATGAATTTTTGACATTTTGCTAAGCTTTTTTTAATTTTGTTTATTTTAAACAACAAACTCATATAAATTGCATAGTGGGAAATTGCATTAACGCAGCGTTAAAAAAGTGAAATCTAACACAGCGATATTAGTGCTAATATTTTAAAATTAAATTCAACGAACTCTTTTCTATATTTTTATTTTTACGTGAACTTCATAAAATATTTACTGCTAGAAATGTTATACATTTCCATGCCACTCCACGTATAACAAGCATTTTTAAGCTTGCAAATTTTAGGTCAGTAAGCCTAAATGTATACTATCACCACAGGTTTTTACTTTTACGCGAACTTTTTTTAGGTTCACAAAGCGAATAATTTTAACAAAATATGTTAATATTTAATAAATACATATTGCATGTTTTACTAAATCATTTAGTTTTTGGAAATTAACCTTCAAATTTTATACTATACTATACAAGGTAAATGTAAGAAAAACAATATGAAAATGAATGCTAAATGTGGACACGGTGTAGAGGAAACTTGTAAAAAAGTTAAGGCTTTTCAGAAGAATATGAAACACCGTTCTACTTCTAACTAAAGCTGCTAAACCTCATTTTTATAGCCTACTTCAAGGCGTGATATATTATTTTAAAATTTTATTTGCTTACGATAGCTGTCATGCTACAACTGGCCGATGGTGGGAAAAATTTACATCAAATTATAAAAAAAAAAATTTCAAGGATGTTAAAAAAAAATTTCTAAAAAAAATAAAATAAAATAAAATAAAATAAAATAACATTGAACACATTTAATTAATACAAATTATTGCAGATGTAGTGATAGCCATGGCAGCAGAGTGGTTAGCGTTTCGTGCTGCCGTTCGGAAGGCCCGGGTTAAAATCACGGTGCTACCAACATCCAAATGTTATAGAAAATTAATTTAAATGAAAAATTTTGCTAAAGTTTTTAACTGCGGTCGCCCCTCGGCAGGGAATGTCAACCCCTCCGAGTGTATGTCTGACATGAAATAGAGCTCCTCACGAAAAAACCATCAGCTGATCGGAGGCGTCTTAGTGTAAACTGTATGTCGCTCAATTTGTTGGAATAAACAACAAAAAGTAAAACCCCGAATTTTAGGAGGATTGTATATATATATATATATATATATGCATTGTAAGGCGTTTTGCAAGCCTATATACTAGGCTTCACATAGTCTTTCCAGTATCCAGTGATGTTACTCAGGGTAAGCAAAAAACAATTTCATATAATCGAATAGAAAATAAAGAGTACAAAATTTGATTATTAATGTTCTTGGGTTTGGTAAATAAATAAAAAAATTATTAAATTTTGTAAGTGAATTATATTGAAGAACAGTCTTAACTTTTCGGATTTTTTTTTACATTAGAATTGTCAAGCATTCGGTCAAGCTTGTGTTGCCCGAAAATTTGTTTATAAAATTTCGATTAGGAATTTTTTCATTTTTAACCTTTATTGAAAAAATCTACTTGTATAATGTATGGGAAAAGTAGCAAAAACTGTTTGGATCAAGGCTGCATCGTAACAATAATTTTCAATTTAATCAAAAAAATTCCACCAATTCGGTTGAAACATATGGAAATGCTGCTGGTAATGTTAAATTGTTAACAGACAATGTTAAGTGCTAAAATCGGTGTGCGCTGTTAATACCATAAAAAACAGAGATTATAAAGATAGCTGTGAGTTAATGCGCTATCAATTTTAATAATCTAACTTCGTTTCGATGACATGGCACCGAAACGAAAAAAAATCATTTGGTCAAGTTTATTTTTCCTATAAACTGAACGAAATGGCATCCTTTCATTTGTTGAACATCATTGTTGTGGGTCTATCCTTGACAGTCAGCCACATGCTAAGATAGCATAGAATATGAGTACAAAAATCTAATGGAAATAATATTCAACTTTACCTATTGCATCACCAATCAAAAAAAAAAAAAATTGCCAGTTTTTCAGATTAAACGATCTAAGCTAAGTTCACTATTTTATTGTTGAGACTGGAAGAGAGGCGCATATTTAATAAAAGGATATTAAACATTTATTTCAAAACTTGAATACATAGCCAAGGATTTTTAAAAAATGCATGTTTCAATTATGATTAAATTTGAGCTCATGTTACACACATGACTGACAGTATTTTGGAAGCGGGTAAGGGCGATTAGGCCATGCTATTTCTGTACCTTAGCTGAAAGGGTGATAGTATTTTCAGTAACACTTCTCTGTTTTGGACTTTTATTTGACTTGAAAAAGTATGCTTACATTATCTCAACACTAGTTTTTATCAAAAAAAAAATTAAATTAAATTAAAATAATATGCTTTCAAAAAAATAGCGTTAAATACCTAATATAAGTAGCATAATTCCATAATATTTTTTTTTTGGATCTTTCAAGGTTAGTGGTACTTTTATTTATAGAAGTTTTTCTATTTTAGTCTTCTACTTTCACTTGTCTTGTGCCAGGTTTTCTTAAAGCAGCACACAAATTAAACATCCTACTCCCTGAATATATGTATATTGCCAATCGAAATAAAAACAAAAATATTTTCTTTGAAATTCTCTTTAAGCGCCAATAATAAATTTCCAACTTTATTTTGTATTTTAAACTTATTTCAGTATTATTTTTTTTAAATGTTATTTTAATAATCTATAATTTTTAAATAATAATATTTATTTTTTAAGAAAACTTAAACATAATAACTAATTTTATCAGTCTATTTAACAATTATTTATTTGTTTTGTTTCAATTTAATTTTTTTTTACTTGTCTCACTTTACTATTTTGAAGTCCAAAAAGAAATCAAACCTTTTTAAATATAATACAATTCATATATATGTATGTACATAGATTTACAATATGAAACACGCAGGCATACACGCACACTCAAGCATACTTATGTTTAGGCTACTAATACTAATGCTAGTCAAAAACTTTATTTTTCTTTAAATTTTATTTTATTTTGGTTTTGAATATTATTATTTTCATTTATCAATTTGCTTGCCTCGCTTTGCTTGAAGTGCATAAGTTTTAGTAATAATTTATTTTTAATATTAAATTTAATAATAATAATAATAATAATTTAAGTATCTATAGCTAGTTAGCAGTACGTTACGTAGTTTGTTTGTTTGCTTTGTGTGTTTCTTGTAGTTGGGTTTCATGTTTTTTGTAGCCGTTTTACTTTAAAATATTTGCTTTTTTCTTAATTTTTGTTTAATATTTCTATATACAAAGCATCCTGCCTAGCACACGAGCACTCACTTATCAGTAAGTAAGTCTCTTCAGTACATGCCACTGGCTAAGCGTGCTACAGCAAGTGTCCTTAACAATTCCATTTCACATCGTGCACATCAAAAGCGCTACACACATACTCATAGCTGCCCTACTGCCTGCCTGACACGCACACAGACGCGTGCCTTTGCAGGCATTTAATTAAATTCACTGGTTGCTTAGTCTGTCTCTGACGCTTTGACGCGTTCTATAAATTTTTACACTCTCACACACAAGCATAATACATAAACTTATTTCCACACACTCACACACTTAATAATACGTACAATCTTCGCTTGACTTTTGCGCCGCCTACACATTCAAACAGACCGCCATGCGTGTCTTACCGCCCGCCAAGCCGGCGTCGCCGCCACCCAAATCCAGTTGTTGTTACGCCCACAGTGGCCCATTTAACGTAGCAGTTTCGTTCAACGATAAACTGGATTCATAGTGTGCCAGCTGTTCGGTTGGCTGACGATGACTGCTACCCGCTGAGCTGGTGCTATTGTTGCTGCTGTTAGTCGCGCTGCTACTCCTGTCGCTGTTATTGCTGCTATTGCTATTGCTGCTGCATGTGTTTTGGGCTGACCCGGAGGCCGCATTTCCAGGCTCCGCTGACGTCGCTGCAGTTTGTGTTTCTTTTAGGGCCGCTGCTGTGCCACAACGACAGCTGATGCCGTCGTCGCTTGCCGCAGCTGCATGCTTACGTGCGCCGCAGTTGCATGGTTTCTTGCAGTTGTAGCTGTTGTAGCAGGCACCACCACTAACACCACCACCGGCGATGCCGCCATTAGGTAGCGCTGTGAAGTTCGATGAGAAGCTGGGATGTAATCCACCTTTGGTGACGCGCTTCTGTGTGCCCACCGTGCAGTCGTCGCAGTTATTACTGCTGTTAAGCTTCTGCTGCTGCTTGGCATAATCGACACTATCGTAGGTCGGCGCGTGTCCATTACTTAGAGTGCCCAGGTATGCGGGCACCGCGTACTCGTGCTGTTGATGCGCGCGTAAGTGATGATGATGATCGAGCGTCTTGGCGCCCCCACTGCTAAGGCCAATGCAATGCATACCGCTGCCCGGGCCACCTCCAATATTATTTAGCAAATCGTTTTTGTGCAGTTTATGTGAGAGTTCATTCAGTGTATTGAATTTACAAGCCGCGGTGGCAGTTGGTATGGGCGCATAGCCGCGTGCGCCTACGCCGCAATCATTTATAGTCGCATAGTTGTTGCAGTCGTTGTAGAGCGCTTTGTCCAGACCGCTCAGTGCGCCACCGCTGATGTGTCCATTTGGTAGACCAACACCACCGGCGCCACCGCTATTAGCATTGCCGCCCGTAGGCTGGTATTCGTGCCCTGATGCGTAAATGTTCACGGCCGAGCGGCTGGCTAGACAATTGGCAGTCATTGGTCGCTTGCGTATATGTGGCAGCGCAATGCGTAGCTTTTGCCAGAATTTCTTATCATCCCATTCAAGGCAGGTGCTAGTACGCAGGTAATGACGCATGTCCATGTCGATATCACGTTGCGGCAAATCACCATACAGTATGAACACCAAACGCTTGCGGCGCTTAACCATCTCATGCAGCGCTGATTTATATTCGAAACGTGTCCACTCGTTGTAAAGGAAATTCTTCGATAGCACCAACACAAACTGCTTGGCACTCTCGGCTGCCTCTATGATAGCGTCCGTCACATACGCATTGATATTCACGTCACGATAATGCAGACACAGACGATAGCCAATGTCATGTTCGAGGGTTTGCGCCAGTATTTGATTAACAAAGTGCTCATCCTGCAAGCTATAGGCGAAATAGGCGTCGCAGAGACGATCTTTGTCCAGCGACTCGACGAAACCGTGTGTATTGCGGCCCGCATAGCACATATTGAGCAGGCAATTGGTATGCGCCCACAGCTTGAGCTCATGCCGGTAGCAGAAGATGCCCAAAATGAGTACGAAGAAGCCGACGAAGGCGCAAGTGGCGATTAATAGTAGAGGAAGTAGATGTTCGATTTCGCTGGCGTGTGCATAGGTGGTGACTTCATCGCCACGTAGCGTGCACTTGGTGCCATTTTTTTCACGCAGCACGCTGGTGGCATTGTTGTAGACACAAGAGACGCGTGCTGCATCGACAATCTTCTCCGCCGTCTGGGCGAGATAGGTACGGAAGCGCATCAAATAACTGCACTCACAACTCCACTGATTGTCTGCTAGGCCGATTTCCACCAGGTATGGGTTGAGCGCCAGCTGCCACACCTCAAAGTGCACCAACCGATTGCCGTCTAAACGGAGCACTTCGAGCTTACGCAATGCCTGAAAGCTGCCATTACCCACAGTCGCTATGCGGTTGTTCTGCAGATAGAGTTCACGTATGTTCTCTAGATTGCTGAACTCATCCCCACGTATCTCAGCGATATGATTGTCTTCAAGGTGCAGCACTAGGAGTCTACGTAAGCCGCTGAAGGTGGTGTTGCGCAGATGTTGCACATTTGAGTTGTTCACAAAAAGTACAGCAAGATTCTTACGCCCGAGGAATGTATGACCCGCAAGCTCTGCAAAGTTATTGCCATCAGTATACAGCTCAGTGGTGTCCATGGGCACTTTACGTGGCATTTGCGAGTAGCCCGCGCCCGAACACTCCACAATGTTCGTCGACCACGTTTGATCGTGGAAGCAAGTGCAGTTCGTAGGACAGGTCATCTCACAGTCGCAGGCATCGAACTCGCAGCAATGGCACACCGCAAAGCAGTGCGTCTTATAGGTGCAGAGGAAGTGCTTCGGTTCGGCATCAATGAGTGGTATATAGGCGCGCTCGCGATTATTCAGCAACTTGCAGTAGATGGTTTCCAGGTCCATAATACGTGGATATTGACGAGATTTGATGTGATTGATCTTCTGCAGCCAGTCTATGTTGCAGTCACATGTGAAAGGATTACCGCCAATATAGAACTCAGGCAGTGAGCGCAACTCGTGCACGGGCAGTATACGCAGGGACTTGATATCCAATGTAGTGATCTGGTTGGCATATAGATCAACACGCGTAAGATTGGTCTTATGCATAAAAGTGTCCGGATCGACGAGGTGTATGAGATTGTCGTTAAGAAACAGCAATTCGATGGAGTTCGGGATCGAGGAAGGTGAGATGCGTTGTATTTGATTGAAGCTCGCATCCAGCGTCTGCAAGCGAACCTGAGTGTCGAGGCTGAAGCGATTCGACAGTTCGCCCAAGCGATTCTTATGCAGATCCAGCCACTGCAACGTATTCGGCACATGCGCATAGTCGAAATGTTCCAAACGATTATCGGAGATGTTCAACCACAGCAGCGAAGGCATATTACTGAACAAACCGTTTATCTCGCTGAGGTCGTTACCATCCAAACGAATCGCCTGTATGCTGGAGGTCATCTCAAATGCGCCCGGCTCCACAACAGCAATGCGATTACGTGCGAGGTTGAGTATTTGCAAGCTGGGCAGATCCTTGAAAGCATTCATTGTGATATTCTCCAAAAAGTTACCAATCAAGCGCAGACCATAGAGATTGCCCAGACCCTTGAAGGCATTATCCTCCAATACCGAGATCATATTCTCACCGAGATCGACAGTGCGCAGCAAACGCATATTACGCAAAGCAAGCGGCACAGTTTTTAGCTGATTGCCGTTCAGGTTGAGATCTTGCAGTGAGCTGCAATTGCGGAAGGCCTCGGGATGTACTCCAATCAAAGCATTATTGTCCAGTGAGAGCAGCGAAAGCACGTAGAGACCGTTCAACGCATAGGCGTCCAGATACTTGAGACGATTGTGTGAGAGCAGCAGTGTGTGTAGATTGTTCATAGGTGCAAAGGTGTCGGCAGCAATATTCTCCAGTTGGTTGTATCGCAAATTTAAAATTTGTAGTGTGTAGAGATCAGTGAAGATTTCCGGTTCGAGCTTGCTCAATTTATTGTGTGCCAAGTTCAGCAATACCAGACGTATCAGCCCCACAAACGTACTGCGATCGATCCATGTCGAAGTGATCTGATTGTGTGAGAGATCCAGTGCTTGCAGTTGATCGAGATTCGAGAACAGTTTTGGCGAGAGCACGCTTATTGAGTTGTTCTGCAAGTACACCTCTTGTATGGTGCCAGCCTGCTCGGTAAAGAGCTCTGAAGGTAGCGCCACAATTTTATTCGAGCTGAGATTGAGAATTTGCAGATTTTTTAAGCCACTTAAAGCCTTATCGGCGATCATGGAGATCTCATTATTGTTCACTTGCAGCACGCGCAGACGACGAAGCGTACCAAAACCGTTAGCGGGTAACAGCACAAAGTGATTGTAAGACACATCCAGTATTTCCAAATCCAAACTGCAACTACTGCTGTTGCCGCTAACCACAACTTGCTGCCGCTTGGTGGACACTTCGGGAGTTGAGGCAGTTGACTGTTCGGTGGCGGCCGCCTGATCACGACTACGATCACGAAAACCCAACTCATTCACATCCTGCAAGCGATTCTCACTCATATTGAGCGACGACAAACCGCTCAGCGAACAGAAAACGTTATCGGGCAGTGACCAAATATTATTCGACGACAAATCCAAACGTTCCAGATTCTTCACCATCGCAAACGCTTCAGCTTCAATATCGAAATTAATTGTGGGCCAGAGTATATTATTTGTGCGCACCGTTAGATTACGCAACTGCGTCAAACCCTCCAACACATACCGATTGAACTTCGCCAGTTTGCAATATTGTATGGAGAGTTCCTGCAGACGCACCAAATGCGCAAAGGAGCGTGCTTCTAGCGAGCTTTTGGCCATAATTTCGTCATTGCAGAGTACATGCAATGCCACAGTATGCTCGGAGGGTATCACACTGAAATTGGTTGTATCAAATTCACTGTTCACTGTGCGCAGATTGCATGTGAGCGCGATCTCTGGGCGCTCGGGGCCAGCGGCTGGCAAAAAGTGGCAATCATCAGGCGCATCATAGCGTGGATCTTGCTCTCCAGCCGTGCCGGCAAGCATGCCGCCTGCAATGCCCGGCTGTAAATTGGCGCCACCATATTGTTGTGTGGCAGTGGGCGGCTGTTGCAGCTGTGAATTCGTGACGCCCGCTTCGCCCATAATAGCGTTGGAGTGTTGTTGGTGTTGCGCCTTCTGTGTTTGCTGTTTTTGTTTTGTGTTTGTTGCAACTTGCAGTTGCTGCTGCTGCTGTGGCTGTTGCAAGCTAGGCGCTTGTTGCATTAATTGCTGTTGCTGTTGCATGTTACCACCAGCTATGAGCGTGAGCAGCAGCAGAGCGACGAATGTTGCATGTTGATAGAATTTCTGTATTGTTTGTTGTGTTTGTAAAGAGTTTAATTTTGCCATCGCGAAATGATTTTGTATTTTGAAACGTGGAAGGTGCAAGTAAAAAAGAAAAACGTGTGGGTGTTGCAAGTAGTTGTGTTTTGTGGTATGGAAATGGTAGTTAAGCGCTAATTTGCGTTAATTTTATGGCCTCAAATGTTTACAGTTAAGGTTTCTATTATTGTTTTACGCATTTTATGCGTTACGGTTGCCTATGTTTGACTACACACAATGAACTAGAATCATTTTGGTAGATTTGCCACATATTTTTTTGCACTTACTGTAATTGCACTACATATAAGAGGCAATCGTTAATGTTTTTTGTTGATTTTTGTATGTAATTTTCATTCTTCTCATACGCTTATTGTGTTTTCAAGCATTTTTTTATCGTGTATTAAGCAATATTGCTTACCCCTCATGCGTACCACAAGCTGTTCTTTAAATAGAAATTTGTTTTTACGCACTTTTTGTGTTTGTTATTATTGTTATGCAGCTTATATTAACAGTTTGTATTATGTTTGTTATATTATTTAATTTTTTTAATATTTAAGCATTTAATTTAATATTCGTATTTTTTATTTTTACATATTTCTTTTTTTAAATATCCATATTTCACTTCTACACCGTTAAATTGACTTTAATTGTTGGTTTTATTATTTTCCAATTTGGTTTGCATTAAATTTTCATTAAATTTTCGCTTGAATTACACTCAGCTTTTCAATGCCAGTGACTCGTTAAAGTTCGCTTTTCCTCAGAACACGTTGCATTTTCGCTTTATTTTTCACGAAGAGATTTTTCGACTTTAATTTTAGCTTTGCTATTCGCCCATTCATTCGCTTACAAAAGCAGATAGCAGCAAAGCCAGCCAACATTAAACGCCAAATTTGCTACACTTCGTCGTTTACTCCTTCGTGACGTTGCTTCTATGTAAGCGCTTGAGTCCTTTGACCGTTACTTTGCTATTTTCGGCATACACAAACAGTTCGTTTAGCTCGTAAAATTTGCACAAAACCATATACAAGCTATACACGCGCTACCAAAGAGCTTCCACACGCACACATCCGTATATTTTTTTTCCGAAAATCTTATGTACACTTGTGTGTGTGTGTTTGTGAGTGTGTGTTTTGCTGCCAATCGGTAAAGTTCTATGCCGCTTTAGTTCACAATGTTCACAAAATACATTTAATCAAATCAAATTAAATGCTAATAAATTTTCATTTGAGGTGAAAGAGGCAAGTGGCAAGTTTGCTACTCGTCACTCGTGGTGTGGCATTTATGAGAGTTCCAATTTGTAGATATCTACTAAATAATATAGAACACTTCGGCTACTCGGCTGCTGCTGTTACTTTTATCACGTGAAGTAAAACTTTTTGTTTTTGTTGTTTATATTTTGTCAACTAAAGACGCGCCGGTAAAATATGTTTGTTGCACAACAATTATTAATAAAATTTTATTACAAACTAGAATTATTTTCACTTTTCTTATAAGAAAATTTAATTTCTACTTCTTCTACACGTATCAGCACTGTAATTCCATATTGTGTATATTTTTTCCTTATATATGGATTTTATATGATTTGCTTTTGCTCTGCGCGTTTATACTTTTCACTAGAAAAGCAACACTACTACAACATTTACGTGTCCTGCACATTGGCATTCAAATCGAAGACTGAACCGCTTAACACACTGAGTCAACCTTTTATAGTACAAAGTAGCAGAGTTGCAAAGTTGCTCACAGTGCCATACAGTATACCATTGTTGGCGAGTGGCCGGAGAGTTTTGTACGTATTTCTATTTTGCTTTAGTTGTTGGTTGCATGGCATGCCCATGGGCTGTGGGTCTATTGGAGTTGCTTTGGCTTATGACAGAGAACATCATCGCTCGCTGGCGTTAAAGGCCTTTGTAGTAGAGAGCATATAAATTTGTAATGCTCAGTATAGAGAGCATGAGAGCGTGTTCGGTGTGTGGCGTAAATAATGAGAAATCCTTGGCGAGCCTTCTTTGAGATTTTATAGCAAAAGGATGTTTTCGTGCATATTTTTTTTGTTAATTTTCTCCAGAGCACACCTATTTTGTGCTCTCTGAATGCGTACAAAAAAAAAACAATTATTATTTTTTATATGAACATTCAGTTGGAATAAAGTCAATATTCAAGTGAAGCAATTGGGTTTAATGGCGCCAATTTGGCTAAATTTTAAATATAAAATTTAAATGCTTAAAATAAATTACTTTTTGAGAAATAAAAGAATAAAAATAATATGAAATTATGAAATTAAAGAAAACAATAAAATGAAATTAAATTAAATAATATAAAGTTATATATAAAAAAATAAATAAAATAAAATAATTTAAAATAAAATAAAAAAAAAATTAAGTAAAATTAAGACAAAAAATAAATAAATAAAACAAAATAAATAAAATAAAATAAAATAAAATAAAATAAAATAAAATAAAAAAAAATAAAATAAAAAAATTATATAAAATAAAGTGAAATGATCTTATTTTCTATTGGACTCAAAATCGAATTACCTGAAAAGTAAAAAGGAGAATCTTTTTCTTTAAAATCTTAATAAAGCATTAATTTCTAATTAAAAATTCATAAAATTGATTTCTGGGAAAAAATATATTAAACCAATTGCATTTACTCTCAATACGTTCTAACACACATGTATACATAAATATACTAGTTATTAATTAACAATATAAGCAAATTATATATATGTTATTGAAATATGCCTGTCTTCAAAATTCTTTAGAGCAAACGAATGCTGGCGCTCTGCTGGCGGCTAAAAAAAATAAATGCTCAGCGTCTACATGAGAGCATAAAAGTAATTTCAAGAACTGTGCTACAGCTATAGAGGAAAAATACGGGGAAATTTAGGTTCAAAAATACTTTTATGGTCACGAAATAAAAGTGAAGGCAAATCTCATTGTTCTTAGCTCGCTCACTGCTCTTCTCTCACTCTCCATATTTTTTTAAGTTCACTTTTATATTGTTCACAAATCTCTTGTTTCTTGAGCTCAGCTCAGAAATAGTGAAGGAATCTCAAAAAATATGCCTTTAGAGCGATAATCGTATTATATTTTCACGTTAGAATGTTTATATGCTACACACATATAATATGTACATACTTGTATGTATATATTTACCTGTATAAGCTTGTATGCATTATTTGTTACTCTATAAAGTTACTAAAAGTACATTTGTTTTACTGAGCTCCTATTGAGAGCCTATTGCACTTATACACATTTCAACGTACTCACAGAAAATAGTTAGTTACTTGTATGTGCTTACGCGCGTGTGTGCATGTGTGTATTAGCTTGCCACATGTGCATTGTGGTCTGCTTTCACAAAGCCGCGTGACTTGTCAAACAGCAGCTGTTGTCAAAAATGTATGCATGTGTGTGTTATACATATGAGACGGCGAAGTTCACCACAGTAGGATGCTAAAATGGCATACAGGCATATTTTTATAGTGTGCAAGTATTTGTAAAGTATAAGAAAACAACATCAAAACATCAGTTTTCTTATTTTTAGTATTTTTCTTTATTTTTTGTCCTTTTTTTTGCTTTTCGCATTGCTGCTCTTAGCAGCAGTCGTCGCTCAGCATGTTATTTTATTTGACTAGTTTTTTCCTTTTCTACTCTGCAAGCGCGCAGTTTTAACACAGACAACTGTTTGCTTGCTTTAGTAGTTTGAGTTCTACTCCTGTAGGCTGTCTACCTAGATCATGGCTTGCTTTATTGTCACACATTTGCAACATTATTCTTTATATTGTTTTTTTTTTTTGTACCTCCTTTATTTTGTTTTATTGGATTTTCTTGGCAAATTTTCGTCTCCTGTTGTTTTCGGTCGTCTAGCGTATCTGGCTCTGGCTACTGCTTCAAGTGCTCGTATCTGTGTGTTCTTGTGCTTATAATATCGTTACTTTAAGCTCTGTTTTCATGTTGCAACTATGTATACAGCTATGTATGGATGTTCATGTTTTGATAATGAAAATCTATGTTGCCTCTATATAATTATATATGTATGTATTGAAATATTTATTTACTATGTCATATATGAAAGCTCACTTAGAAAACCTACTAATGCAAGCACTGCTTCGTTTTTTACTAGTTACGGTCTGGTTTTAAGGGTTTGCTAAATAATAAAATAAAATTTTGCTTATTTTAGAAATTTATGCACGTTTTCGCATGTTTTAATATGGCCGGGGCTTTTGGTACTAGTTTGCGGTGAGTTCACTTGTTGGCAATTACATTAAATTCAAACTTTATGAAAAGTTTTTTTACTTCCTTCCCTAGAACTTTCTATATAAACAAATTTATTTTATTAATTCCATCAAAATTGTAACCCCTGTCGAGCTTCAGCATAGCATAAAGGTAGAGAAGACTTGAAAGGATTTTTTCTTATATTCGGTTTTTATTGCTAGAAACCATTGCAAACAGCTTAAAAGCTCGCTATAACCAAACGTATATTAAGTCCAGCACTGGTTCATTTGACACTAGTTTCCGACTAGTCAAAACTGGTTCTACAGATTATATTTTGTACCTTTTCTGTAATGAATTTACGACTATTTCCAACTAAATTGTAATGCTTTGTCGACTAAAGTTAATTTTTCTTAATTTCAACTCTAAGTTATTTGTAGTGTTATCAAGCAAAATAGTCAGCCCTCAACGTCCAGCTTATTTTCAATAGCAGAAATTTTTTTTCTATCTAAAAAAGAAGTCTTTGCTTTTTATTTGGGAACACACTAGGATATGATGAAAACTACACGCGCATATACATAAATAAAATTAGAATTATAAAAAAAAATAGATACAGCATTTGTAGCCATAAAAAGGTTGCACCACACCTCACCTAATTTTCAATATTGCAGAGATTCAAAATTTTATGACTGGGCAACCCATTTTTCTCTCTCTCTCGAGTCACTAACTCTATAGTATATGATTACGAAAGCATATCACATGGCGAAAGGATACCGAGTGAATATATATATATATATATATATATATACATATACATATACTCAATTTTCCACTCCTCTCATTAACACCTCCTTGCCTAGCCGGCGACTGCAAAAGCTCCTGTTTTCCAGCTACTCGAAACACTTTTGATGTTATTTTGTAAGTATGTACTGAGGAGTATACATATATATGTGTAAGTTGATATGCAGCTTCATATACATACAAATAAGAGTATTAGTATCCTTTGTGTCACCACACAAGTGCTTATAGCTTTTGCATGTTTTACATCACACACAACAAAATACATACACATATATATATAATGCTCGAACATTGTAGTTGCATAGACACTCACATATATGTATACTCGTACCTTGGCAAAATACTTAGTTGGGAGAATGAGCATTGTAATTATTACAGAAATATATTGACCTCATTATTTAGTAGGTGCTTCAAAATGCCTTCGACAGATACAAAGTGTTACATTTACTAATACGATAGTATATACATACATAAGAATAGCTTATATGCTTATACGAGTACATATATG